TCAGGTGGGAGCTATGTCACCCCAGCAGCCACAGCTTAGGTGTTTCCACGTTCATCACTGTATTGACAAATGAACCGATGTGGGAGAGTTAAGAGCACATACTTCGGGGGCACGTGACTGGCTCAGTAGGCCATGTGACTCTTGATCTCAGGGTACTGAGTTCAAGCCGCACATTGGACACAGAGTTAGAGCCTATTTAAAAAAAAAAAAAAAGAGAGTATGTATGTTGGGACCCACAAATTTTGGTTTGAAACCCATCTTTGGGGGCACCTGAGTGGCTCAGTTGGTTAAGTGTCTGCCTTCGGCTCACGTCATGATCCCAGGGTCCTGGGATGGAGCCCTGCAGCGGGCTCCCTGCTTCTCCCTCTCCCTCTGCTGCTCCCCCTGTGCTTATGCATGCTCTCTCTCTCTGTCAAATAAATAAATCTTAAAAAAAAAAATCTTTGTTATCAATTAGCTTTGTGATCATGGACAAGTCTCTTCACCTCTCTGAGCCTTGGTTTTCTAAGCTTTAAAATGGGAATATATAAAATGGGAATATATTGTAAGAATTAAAAGCATCCAGGGGCGCCTGGGTGGCTCAGTTGGTTAAGCATCCGCCTCTTGATTTCGGCTCATGTCATGACCTCAGGGTTGCAAGATCGAGCCCCATGTCTGGCTCCTCGCTGGACATGGAGCCTGCTTAAGATTCTCCCTCTCCGTCTGCCCCTCCCCCACTTCCTCCCGCTCTTAAAAAAAAAAAGAATTAAAAGCATCCTAGACACTATACCAGCAGACAGCAGGGGCTGAAGCAATGGCAGCTTTTAATACAATGTAATACTTAGAGGATGCTAAAAATGATAATTATTAGAGCCTTGTAATGATCCATGAGATTAGGGGGAAAAAAAGGGGGCAAGGTAACTTTCTCCATTTTGAAGTTCTAAGAGGGGAAGCCTAGAGCTTGCATTTCCTAAATCCTGGCTGCCTGACTGGAAGAGGTGTCTTTTCACTTATGATGGCACTTTGCCCCTGTGTGAGTGGTTCCCTCCTGAGGGCTCTCGGGTGGGTAGGTCTGTCTTGCCTCTGCCCACCTTCCTGTAGTTGGTTGCCAGGTGGCTCCAGCACAAAAGTCAGAGGCCAGCACTAATGAGCCAAATGTGTGGGTTCGAACTCTCCACTACCAGGAGAAAGATTTTGTTTTTATGCAAATAGTTTCCCCAGCTGAGCCCCAGGTGAACTTGGGGAATGGCTGGTTCCTCTAGAATGGATCTCGGATGCATAGTGAGGCCCTTTTTTTTTTTTTTTAAGCTTTTATTTATTTGAGAGAGAGCAGGAGCAGGGGAGAGGGGCAAAGGGAGAGGGAGAAGCAGGCTCCCCACTGAGCAGGGAACCATGCGGGGCTGACCTGAGCCAAAGGCAGACGCTTAACCGACTGAGCCACCCAGGCACCCCTTGGTGAAATCTTCATACTCTTAAGACATGCCAGTAGAATGCAGAATGAATTTCAGCTCTGCCCCATATGGCGGGGGCTCAGGGCAGCCCTCTCTGCCTTGAGCTCCACAGCTGTCTTCCAAGGCTTAGCCCAGCTCCTACCGCCCATAGGTGTCGGACACCTGTGATGCTGTGTTTGTGTCTGGCAAGGAGAGCCGGGGCGCCCGCGGGGTGAGGGTGGACTTCTGGTGGCGCCGGCTGAGGACCTCGCTGCGGCTGACAGTGTGGGCCCCGCTGCTGCCCCTGCGCATCGAGCTGACCGACACCACCCTGGAGCAGGTCCGAGGTTGGAGGGTCCCCGGCCCAGCTGAAGGGTGAGTGGGGGCCTTGGCGAAGTCGCTCTGGGACCCGAGAGATGGCGCAGGGAACACAGCCCTGGGCTCAAGCTGGGGTCTAAAAACTGCCCCGTTGCTTCCGTCCCTCCTGCCCACCTGCCTGTCACACCACCCAGCCTCTGGCCACTTTATTTGTGATCGCAGACCTCCACACTCTCTCTCCCCCTCCCATGCCACACTTCTCCGAAGTACAGATCACTTTCTAATTACTGGACCGCCTGATTCATCTTGTTTGTGGTCTGCCCACCGCCTTCACTCTCCTCCCTGAGACTTGAAGGCGAGGGGTTTTGTCTATTCTGTTCACTGCTGCGTCCTCAAAGCCTAAGATGGCACCTAGCTCAGTAAATATCGAGAGGGTCCCACCAGAGCCCACGGGTGAGGTGGCCTCAGGAATCTGAGCCAGGCCCCCCGGACACTGAGCATCTCAAGGTCTCCCCCCTCGGAGAGGTCTCCCCGCCTCCGTAAGAGCCAAGAATTCAGATTAAGAGCAAGAGGAGGGCGAGAGTGGCTTGATGGACAGGCATAGGCACCAATTAGGAACGGCGACGCCGCGCCCGGGACGCAGAGGGGCAGCTGTGTGCAGTCTGAAGAATGCGCGTCCCTTAGGAGCTGGGGTGGGGGTGGGGGGTGGGGGTGGGAGTCTCCAGGGGGCGGGGCCCTCAGCGGCTGGGGGCGGGGCCCGAGCTGACGCCCCGCCCCCGGGCCTGTCCGTCCTGCCCCACCCCCACCTCCCCAGAGTGCCCGAACCCGAGGCTGCTGCGGTGGCGGAGGAGGCCGAACGGCGCGCCCGGGGCTGCCGCCTGCAGTACCAGCGGGCTGGCGTGCGCTTCCTTGTCCCCTTCGCGGCCCACCCGCTGGACGGTGGCCGCCGCCTCACCCACCTGCTCGGCCCCGACTGGCTGCTGGACGTGTCCCACCTCGTGGCGCCGCACGCACGTGTGCAGGACCCGCGCGTAGCCTCGTTGGAGGGCGGCCGCATCCTGGTGGGCCGGGAGCCTGGCGTCACCTCCATCGAGGTGAGCAGACCCTCATGAGAAGGGCATAGGTGGCCCCCAGAATGTTCATGGGCAGGTATGAAGAGTGTCAAAACGGGCCCAGGGTGTCCCTGGGCAGGTATGAGCCCAGCGGGATTGGGGGTTGAGTGAGAATAGGATGGGGGACACCCTCAAAGCATGAAGGGCTGGGGTTGGGTATGTGGGGACGAGGCCTTGAAGAAGGAGGGAACTGTTCCCTAGGCATGGGGGTCCCGGTATGTATAGGTCGTATGGAGTGCAAAGGGTGGGGAAAAGCAGTGTGTGCCGATGATGGGGCTCAGACAGGAGAGGCTCTCTGCGTACTTGCCCCCCAACAACTTGCAGCTCCCTCTCACCCTCAGGTGCGTTCCCCACTGTCTGACTCCATTCTGGGGGAGCAGGCATTGGCCGTGACGGATGACAAGGTCTCGGTGCTGGAGCTGCGGGTGCAGCCGGTGATGGGCATCTCACTGGCCCTGAGCCGGGGCACTGCCCACCCCGGGGAGGTCACAGCCACATGCTGGGCACAGTCAACCTTTCCCGCCCCAAAGCAGGTGACAGCCAGGGGTTCAGGGGGATGAGCTCCACGTTGCCAGGTGGGGGCTAATGACAGGGGGATGGGAGGCACCTGGACCCCTCACCTTAGGGTTTTCAGAATGAGGACTGACTACCCTGCGAGGTAGTGAGCTCTCTGCGGCTGGAGGTGATCAAGCAGTGGCTGGCTGGAGTGTGGCAGTGGGAGGTTGGTTAGATGGCTCTGAGGACCCTCCCGATGACTCAGACCCCAGGGCTGAGTGGCAGACAGGTGATTGACGCATGTCCCCTCTCTCCCTGTGTTTTGTCCATCTGCCCATGTCTGTTTTCTCTCTGATCTCTCCTCCTTCGTTCCGTGTGGCCTGTCTCTGTGGGAGTGGTCTCTGTGTGCATGCGTGCGTGCCCTCGCATGTCTCTGCCTGTGTCCGTGTGCCCCACAGGAGGTGGCCCTCTCCCTCTGGCTGTCCTTCTCTGACCACACCCTGGCCCCCGCTGAGCTCTACGACCACCATGACCTGGGACTATCTGTCTCAGCCGAGGAGCCCGGTGCCGTCTTGCCAGCCGAGGAGCGGGGCGCCCAGCTCGGGGTGGTGGTGAGTGGGGCGGGTGCCGAGGGGCTGCCCCTGCATGTGGCTCTGCACCCGCCTGAGCCCTGCCGCCGGGGGCGCCACCGTGTGCCCCTGGCCTCTGGCACCGCCTGGCTAGGGCTGCCCCCTGCTTCCACCCCGGCCCCTGCCCTCCCATCCAGCCCTGCCCGGAGCTCACCGGCCACGGAGGCCAGCGTGGGTGGTAAACGATGGGGGGCAGGTGGTGTTGGGGGCAGCGGGGGTGTGAGGGGCAAGTTTGAGCGGGCAGAGGAGGAGGCTGGGAAGGGGGCAGAGGCTGGAGAGGAGGAGGAGGAGGAGGAAGAGGAGGAGGAGATGGTCCCCGCCCCTCAGCGGGTCACCGACCTAGAGCTGGGCATGTATGCTCTGCTGGGCATCTTCTGTCTGGCCATCTTCATCTTCTTGGTCAATGGTGTGGTCTTCGTGCTGCGCTACCAGCGCAAGGAGCCTCCCGACAGTGCCACCGACCCTGCCTCCCCCCAGCCCCACAACTGGGTCTGGCTGGGCACTGACCAGGAGGAACTGAGCCGCCAGCTGGACCGGCAGTCCCCCGGCCTGCCCAAGGGGGAGGGGGGCTGCCCCTGCGAGACTGGGGGCGGAGGGGAGGCCTTGACCGTGGCCCAGGCTCCTGCTGGGGGCACCACCGGCTCCTCGACCACCCTGGCCCGGAAGGAAGCCGGGGGGCGGCGGAAGCGGGTAGAGTTTGTGACGTTTGCGCCAGCCCCCCCAGCCCAGCTGTCTGAGGAGCCCGTAGGGGCCCCCGCCGTGCAGTCCATCCTGGTGGCGGGGGAGGAGGACATCCGCTGGGTATGTGAGGACATGGGACTGAAAGACCCCGAGGAGCTGCGCAGTTACATGGAGAGGATCCGGGGCAGCTCCTGACGCCTCCCCAGCCCGCCTGGCCCGGCACTGCCGGCCGCCAGCCCGGGCAGCCTCCTGCTCACCCTCCGGTGCTTGCGCATCCAAGTCCCCTGCTTGGCCTCTCAAAAGGATGCCCACCCAGGCCCCCTCTGCCCTGCCCGCCCCCATATCATGGACCATGCTCATGAGGAAGGGCTTACGCCCCTTATTTATGAGAACCATTTCATCCTAACGTTGGGTACAGAATAAACTCGAGGAACCCCCACTGGGACGGCGGCTGTCTGTGTCCTGGGGAGAGAAGCGCAGGCGGGGGCAGGGGGCAGCTGGGGGGAGGGTGTTCAGCCCCTGTCCCTGCTGGGACAGCTCTGGGAGGTTGGGCCCTGAGCTACCCTCTCGTAGCGGCCAGCGATCCAGATAAACAGGAGGGCCGTGGCGGCCTGAATGCAGGCCAGCAGGAAGAAGTAGAGGTCCATCCGGCAATTGTTGATGTTCCCTGGGGAAAGGAGGGGTTGGCATGAGAGTCGGGCAGGGTGCCCCCGAGACTGGCAGCTGAAGCCGCGTGGGCAGTGGGTGGGCAGACAGCCCTCTCGGCACCTGGCAGTCCCCAGGGTTTCCCGTGCTGCCGGCAAGTCCCTGTGGGCTAGTCTTTCAGGGGTTTAAAACACAAAGACCCCAGAGAAAGGTGACCCTTCAGCCAGAATGACAGACTTCCAGAAGCAGGAAGGAGACTTGGAGGTCTGCCAAGTGCACAGATTCCTTTTTGACAGTTAGGGAAACTGAGGCCCAAAGCGGGGAGGCCACATTGTGGGCGACTGGCCAAGTTCGGGCTGGAACCCAGTTCTCCTGAGTCCAGCCTGCCATTTCACTCTGCCTGGGGGTCAAAGCACTTAGTGGTTGCCACCGCCTTTCCAAGCCTCCCACCACCCATGTCCCACTCCCAGGAAGGGCCCCACACTCACCAAAGTCCTTGGGGCAGTAGAGCCAGCCCCCGGGCAGGGACAGGAGTGCCACGAGGCTGGAGCCCAACAGCGAGCCCACTCCCGACAGGCAGAAGAAGATGCCCATGATGGCACCCTGCATGGAGCGCGGAGCCTCGGAGTACGCAAACTCCAGGCCTGCAGAGGGAGGGGGAGGCCCAAGCAGACGGGGGAGGAGCAGAGATGAGGCCCACCCAGCCTCCATCCTGGCCTCCCCTGCATGACTGCCCACCACGTGGCTAGGATGACACCCGTGCCCCCGAGACCCCTTGCTCGGCCCTGCTCATCTATTCCCCTGCTTGAACACCTCCACCTGGATGCCCCCATATTGCTCTGTCTCCCCTCCTCCTCCTGGTACTATCCATTTCAGGGATAGTACCTCTCTCTGCCCTACCCTCTCTGCCCACCTTCAACATCATCACCAAATCCTCTTGATTTAGCCTCAGAAATCTCATGTCTGCCGTCTTCTCTGTTCCCTCTGCCCTGGGCCAAAGGGTGGCCCTGGTCTTTAGTGCCCAGCCCCTGCCAATGCCTCTTAAACCACCCCCCTGCTTCCTGTCGTCCTCCTCACACAGCTAGATGGGTCTGTCTAAAAAAATCTCTAATGGGATCCTTTCCTGCCAAAATCCCCATGGCGGTTGGGGGGTGGGGGGCGGGGGGCACTGTTGCCCGCAGGGGAGACTTCAACATCCATCCAGGTTTGGCCCCGTACCTCCCCAGCCTTCCGCACACTCCCTACAAAGCTTAGCTCTCCACGTCCGCTGTTCCCCTGCCCAGGACATCCTGCTACCTGCTGAGTTCTGCCTTCTCTGCCCACCTGCCCCTTCCCCACCTCGTCCCAGGGGCTTTCCCTACACCCTAGAGTCACCGCTACAGCCCTCCCCTGGGTTTGCTGTCTGCGTGACTGTCCCCCCAGCTCTGAGTGAGTCCCACCAGAACCTAGCCCCGGGCCTGCGGCTGAGTCGCTGCTGCTTGGCTGAATGAAGAGCCCACCCCCACCCCACAGCTCTGGCTCACAGCCCGGCGGGGGACACAAACGTACTGCATTCTTACAATACAGGGGGGGGGGGGGGGGGGGGCCGCGAATGGAGATGAGCGAAAGGAGGTTAGAAGGACTCCTTCTGCCCAGGGGCCTCAGAGAGGGCTTCCTGGAGGAGTTGACATTTAGGCTCAGCAGTGAAAGGAAAAGGAGTTCACTTTGAATCTGAGGCACAGGGAACAGCAACCACGCAGACACGGGGGATGAAGAACAGGGCACCAGGGACAATGTGGGAAGTCGGTAGGGAGTGTCTTAACCACCTGCAAATCTCCAGGGCCTATCACAGTGCCTGGCACAAAGCAGGTGCTAACAAGTCTCCACCGGGTGAACGCGGCCCCACTCAGAAAACCTGGCCTTCCTCCACACGCACGGACTCCAGAAGCTGTGCCCGTGAGACCTCTGACTTCGAGGCAGCACCAGGCAGAGCCCATCACTGGTGCGAGGGCAGGGGAGGGGTCCAAGGTACCTGGGATACTGGCAAAAATCTCACTGATCCCGATGAGCAGGTACTGAGGGATCTGCCACCAGATGGACAGTGGAGCTGCATAGTACACATCCTTCCCGATCTGCTGGGACACCGTCTGGTTGCGATGGATGTACTGTAAGCGCTCCATCTCCAGGCCTCCTGGGTGGGGGACGGAGGGGGACTATAAATAGCCAGGCCCACCATCCGCAGCTTAGCCCAAGGCAGAGCTTGGCACGTGGAGGGTATTCCCTAGGTAGCCAGTGACAGAGCAGCAAGAAAGGAGAAGGACACAGGCCTGGGGGCATGGTGGAGGCCCAAGATCTGAGTTTCAACTCTGTGACTTCTGCCTTGGCTTCCAGGAAGCTCAGAATGAGGTTTTGCGCTCATGAACAGGAACAGCTTGCATTAATTGAGAGCCTGTTATGTGCTGGGCATTTAATATGCATTCTTGTAAATGAAGAACGACAAATTTAGGTTAAGCAACCAGCCCAGGGTCACCCAAGTTGATGGACATAGTTGGGGCTGGATGTGAGCCCCTGTGGGTCTGATTTCACAACTGACCCTATTTCCCTAATGTCATGAGACTTCTCTACTGCAGCATCCAGAAGGGTTTCTAACCTGGTTTTCAAGCTTACTTTTATCTCCTTCCCCTTCGTTGCTTAGAAGACACTGGATATGGTGGGAGGTGACGCAGGTTCCAATCCTGAGCCCTGGCCCTGGTTAGCTGTGTGACCTTGAGCAAATCACTTAACCTCTCTGAGACCCAGTGCTCTTATGCAAGAAGTAGGTATAAAAATCCCAGAATTGTTGTGGGGATGAACTAGGATAAAATGCATTAGAGCGTGGAGCTGAAAAAGAGCCCAGTTTGGTTTTCGTCCTTGCAACACAATACTGGTTTTTGAGCTTTGAGTCCCCTGGGTCCTCCTCGTGATCCAGGCACGGTGCTGGGCATCTCACAGACCTCACCTTTTTTAATCCTCACAACACTCCTGCTAGACCACATTCATAAGGGCAGAACTCGGGTCCTGCACAGGGGCTAAATGAATTACTATCCCCACTGCAAAGTCGGGGCTCAAAAACGCTAAGTCACTTCGGGATCCTTAAGTTACCAAGTGAAAGGGACGGAGGTTTGTGCAGTAGCACGAAAGGCCTCTTTACCAGAGCCCCTTTGTCATAAATGGCTTCAAATCCTCTTGAACTAGAAGGAAGAGAATAAATGATAAACTCTTATTAAAAAAAAAAAGTGGCTGAGTGTCTGAAAAACTCTTCAGCACATTGATTAGGTGCCCATGTGCATTATTCGTAGCAGTGAATGAAAAAGAAAAAAAAAAAAAACAACCTGCCTTCAGGGAGCTTACATCCCACGGGGGAAAATCTTTTTCCCTCTGTGGGCCTGAGTTCCCTCGTCTGTCAAGACAAGGGAAGGCGGGGCTAGAGGAGGAGGGTCCCCTTCAGCTCACAGTCCCTGGGAAGCCAAGACGGATGCCCATGGTGGGAGGGTGTACGTGGCCCAGGCCCACAGTTCCAGCATCAGCCCGAAGTGGAGCCAGCCTCCCTCCCGAGTCCCTCCACTCGGGCCCACACACCTGCCACAAGGACGGAGGCAAAGCCGAAGAACATCCCCAGGGCCATCTTCTGCAAGACCGAGGGAAGCAGCTTGCACCGCTGCAGTAGAGGGTCGAGCAAGTGGTCCTTCACAGGCACCAGGATCAGCACCACCACGACATTGGCCAGGAGGAGCCAGGCTTCCGGGATCTGGGCAAGAGGGGGCCAAGCCAGGCAGGCTAGCAGAGCAGAAGGCGCTCTGGGCGGGAGCTGGGGCTGCTGGCCTCCAGACTGTCCCTGGTGACCCAGGGTAAGCTCTTTCCCCTCTCTGGAATGCACCTTCCTCAGCAGGGTGAGTCGGGGACGGGATTAAATCAGAGATGGCAAATTGGTTCCTCTGGCTTCTGTCAATGGATGGTGGCTGCCTGGAACATTCTCGGGCTCAGCATGAAAACATGTCAAGATGGATTAGTGATGTCTGTCCTGGGCAAGGAATGCAGGTATAGAGGCAAATGTCATTTCTCTGCCAGCTCTGAGGATCTTTGATGTTATGAGTCTGAAATGCCAAGGACCTGGCATTTGGAAAGTTCTGGTGAAAGACAGACATCTGGGCATCCAGGGGTCCCAGAGAGTGAAGGAAGTCAGGGTAGAATTGAGGGGCCCGAGTGCACCTTGCAGGCCCTGAGGCCTGCCTCAGAACAGCAGTGCGTGGGAGCGAAGCTGGCCTGAATTCTTGGGCTGGGGCACAAGTGTATCCATCTTCCTGGGGCTTTTCGTGTTCCCTGAGGAACCCCTACGCCTGGGCATGGAAACCCCTTCATTTCCTTCTGTTTGCAGAGGAGGTTCCCAGCACCGCCTGCAGTGGAGGCTGAACGCACGCCTGGTCTCTTACCTTGTAGCTGCTGCGCTGGGCTCTCAGAGCCATGGAGCTATTGGCAGGGTTGTCTGGGAAAATGTTCGGGATGCGGAGATGAAGACCCTGCAGGACATAGGTGGACTGCATCTGCCAAGAGAGATGGAGCCGTGGCTGGAACAGAGCTGGCCACCTCACCTCCAGCCCAGGAGACCGCCAGCTCCTAGATGGGCGTTCTTCGGAAGGAGCACAGGATAGCTGGGCAGCTGTCCTCTCTGGGATGTGACCCCCCCCCACACACACTCTCCTTCCTCCTCAGGAGCCAGGCTCGGTCGGGGAGCTTCCTTCACCCTGCCCCCAGGCCTGTGAGCTCTGTGTGCAGCCTGACCCCAGAGCCCGGGCACAGCTGATCTGACTCACATTTGGTGTCTCCAGGGTCTGGCACAGAGGAGGCGTGAAGAAATGTTTGTTGACATGGGGAAGATAATGACATGGCTGTGCCCACAGAGAGCTCCCACTCGACACTGAGGCCAAGCTGCATCCCACGGGCTGACACAGCATAGGCCCTGCATAGGCACCAGCCCACCAGAATGGCTCTGGGCAGAGCTGAAGGGGCAGGCTCCAGGGGGCCCACTGCCACACCAGGTATCACCCCTTCAGTGGCTCTATAATGCAGGGGGATCCTGGAGAATCCCCCAGGAGGGTCTGGGGTGGGGGAGGACACTCGGGTTGCTCAGGACAACAGCTATGGAGCAGCTGGTGTATAAGAATGTCAGTACTCTGAGAATCGGCTGTGGACACACACACACACTCCCCATGTCCCTGTCCCCTTGCTTCTGTGTCACCACCAAGTAGCAGGCTGGCCCTGCATAACCCCCAACTCCTATAAACGTAAAACAAGCTTCCTAGGAAGGGGGTATGGAAGGCAAAGACCTTGTCATCTGGGGGTTAGAAGTTGGGGTTAGGCAGCTGCCAACCCTACACACACACGCGCACACACACACACACACGCACACACGACCAACCTTCCCCTCAGGAGATGGTAGGAAGCAACGGGTCTCAGACCTGGCTGAGTACCAGTCTCCCCTCAGAAGTTTATCACTCTAGAGGCTCCCCCCAGCAATTCTTTCAGTAGTCTGGGGTGGGACATGGAATCAGTTTTAAAAGCTCTGCAGGTGGTTCTGAGACACAGCCCGGGTGGGGGATCACCACTGTGAAGTACCTGATGCGCTGAGCTTGCCCCTAACTGGCTGTGGGGCATTGGGCAACTCTGGGCCTCAGTTGCCACGTCAACGAATCTGACTGTTCTAGAGCTCTTGAGAGCCTCCAAGCCACCCGTCTTACACACGAGGCCCAGACAGACGGGGTGACATGTGAGGCACTGGGCCTCAGACCCGTCTCCAGAGTTCCTCATGCTATTCATTATCGGGATGGCTTTGTGCCAGGCCCCACGTAGCCCCAAGTCACACTGTGAACCCCTGCCTCCCTTTCCACACGCTCTGGGCTTCTACGGTGAGAGCTGAGGCCCGTCAGCGGACCGGGGAGCCCACGCCCCCGGAGTGAGAGGGCCAGGTGCTCACCTGGAAATACACCATCCAGTAGGGCACCAGAGTCACCATGACGGGCAAGATCTTCACCAGCACCTGGAAGTTGGCCATGTCCTCTTGTGGGGAAGGGCCAGGCTGGGGAGACCTCTGGTCGGGCAGCGGTTGGGTGCCTTGAGGGTCTCTGTGGGGCCAAGGGGGGGACGGCAGATAAAATAGCAGCCCCACAGCCATCATTATCCCCTAATTTAATCTTGCTTCCCTATCACCAGTGACTTAAGCCATCACCTCCGAAA